ATGTTTTTCTGAATGGGGAAGGCTCTGGATTAGAAATAGACACAATAACAAACACACAAAGACACACAAGTATAGAAAAGCAAGGATTGGATGGGCACAGCTTCTCTGATGGAGAAGTTGCAACCAAAACTTGCCTTAAGTTTATTCTTTTAAAGGGCAAAAAATGGGAGAAGAGGAAAATGGAATGCAAAAGGAATAGGGGAAAAGAAGTAAAATGCAAAAAAAAAGAAAAGATGAGAAATTAAAATACAAAGCCAGTTGTTTTTAAATGTAAACCGTCTAAAGATGTAAAAATAACTGGTGCCATATAATTTCTCTAATTTTTTTGAGAGATAATCTAATAAAATCATGTGACTTTCTTTAGCCCAATACTGGGCAGTATAGAGTATTGGATATCAAAAACAACAAAAAGACAACCATTAACAGCAGGCAAATACTGCTTTTATATACAAATACTTCTCAAGAGCTCTACTAAAATAGCTTACAAAAGCACACTTCTACATGTATCGACAGGCCACATGTTTTAATCATATGTTTTAAAATTAACTGCTCTCTACAAGTAATTTTTATTCAAGAATCTTTATGTAGCAATTTCCCCCAAAATGTAGAGGAAAACACGAGTCCCCTTGGCTTTGGGGTTTTTTTTTTTCTTTCTTTGAATAGGATTATCTTGAAGAATGGCCTAGTGAAAGAACTAAGATGCAAGAAAGCAAACTAAATTTAGTGAGGAGCACTAAAGGCACATTTTCCAAACTTTAACTGTAACCCTTAGTAAGAAATATATTTTATACTGCTTGACAGAAAATGTGTGTGTGTGTATGTTTGTGTCATTTCTATATGTACACACACATACTCACTTATCCCTTAGTATCCTGAGTTGGTTCTAGGATTTCCCCTTCCCCTCTGTCACCCATGTAGATGCCAAAATCCATGGATCTCAAGTCTCACAGAAAATGGCATATTTGCATATAAACTACGCATATCCTCCTCTATACTTAATGTAAATGCTATGTAAAGTTGTCCTGTATTGTTTAGGGAATAGTGACAAAAAAAGTCTGCACAATTCAGTTCAGACACAACCATCCACAGTAGGCCTAACTGCGTAGTATACATCAGCAACAGTGTACCAGTTTCAAATCACCGTCACATCTGCTGAGGAGGGCTAACTGGGTATCATCAACACAAGCGCCTAAAGTATTTTCCTTACTATGTGTGATACCAGTTTTGTTTTCTTTCACTTTTTTGAAATGTACTTGTGATTTCACAACCTGTCTTGAGTCATGAACTACAGTGTGAAATACATGGCATTAAAGGTTCTCTCCTCAGAAATTCAACTCAAACGGGTATCTTTGTGCTATAATGCAAACTGCTATAGCAAATAGTTCAGTGAAGAACAGTGGTAGGAAGGTAGTGGGAGAAGTAGTTGAAATAGAGATACTCCTTTCTCCCAAACACTAAACTTCTTTGCACCATAAAGAAAAAGAGTTGGGGACCAGCAGGTGGCGTAATGGTTACATCGCTGGACTCCCACATAGTTGACCATGGTTGAGTCCAACCCTGTGGCTTAAACTCACCATGGGCGTGTGTGTGTGTGTGTGTGTGTGTGTGTGTGTGTGTGTGCCCAAAATCCCGAGAGGAGAATGGAGGAGAAGGGATTGAGGCGTGGTCATCCCTCCCAGGGGATGATTTTTTGCTTTCTGTCTCTAG